GACGCTTAACCGACTGCGCCACCCAGGCGCCCCAATAAACTTTAAAATAAGCATCCTTCATAAATAAAATTGTGTGCTCTTCCATGATAATGTTTTTTAAGTGTATTTATTTTGAGAGAGAGAGAATCCCAAGCAGGCTCTGTGCCGTCAGCACGGAGCCTGATGATCCCACAGAACTGTGAGATCATGACTGGAGTCGAAATCAAGAGCTGGATGCTTAACCGACTGAGCCACCCAGGTGCCCCCATGATAAATTTCCTTAAAATAAATTTTCTAAAAGTGGAATTGCAGGTCAAAAGTATACATATTTTTCAGCATTTTGAGAAACTTTCAAAGCGCCCTTCAGAACAGTTGTACCAGTTTATACTCTCACTGCTCTGAGTGCCTGTTTCTTAATACCCCCGCCAAAAATGAGTGTTATTTTGAAAATCTTTACAAATTTGACAAGGAAAGTATCTCATTATCATCTTAATTGCAGTTCTTTGATTTGTAGTGTAGATGGAAAGTTTGATACGCATTAGACAGTTACTCTGCTTTTGAAGAGAGGTACCCATTTTTGTTTGTAGCTCATTTATCTACTAGAGCAAAACTATTCCTTTTTTTCAAAAAATTTTTTTAGTGTTTATTTTTGAGAGAGAGTGACAGAGTGTGAGTGGGGGAGGGGCAGAGAGAGAAGGAGACACAGAATCTGAAGCAGGCTCCAGGCTCTGAGCTGTCAGCACAGAGCCGGATGCGGGGTGAACTTGGGAAGGGCAAGATCATGACCTAGGCCAAAGTCAGACTCTTAACCAACTGAGCCACCCAGGTGCCCCAGTAAGAAACACTTTTAAATGAATATTAATACGTCATTTCTAAAACTTTTTTGTAAAATGTAATGATTACAGATGATACTTTATTTTGAAAGGCATCTTCAACATTATCAAATCAGATAGCCTCTTTTTACAGATAAAGAAACAGAGGTGCCCAGAGGTTAAATCAGTTTCCCCAAAGTCACATATTTAGGGGATAAACCAAGAGAAGCATCAAGTTCAACTACCATGCTCTTCAAATGGCAAACTGAGTAATCCATATTTGCTGTAGCAATCTTGAACTTCTAATCAAAACTTAATGTGATAAAAAAAGTATTTTGGTCACTTAACAGAACATCAACCCCTTTATTCAACAAACACTTATGGAATATCTACTATGTACCAGGGACTACAGATATGAAGATGAATAAAACATAATTCTAGTTTAGGAGGTTTTTAAAGCTCGTTTAAAAAACAAAAAGGTAGTAGGGGCACCTGGGCTGCACAGTCGGTTGAGCATCTGACTCTTGATTGCGGCTCAAGTTATAATCCCAGGGTCATGGGATCGAACCCCACATCGAGAGCATAGAGCCTGCTTAAGACTCTTTCACCCTCTGCCCCTCTCCCTGGCTCATGTTCTCTCTCTCTAAAACAAAACAAAACAAAAAAAAGGTAGCTATATAAAATAGTGCTGACCATTTAACCGTAGTGCGCAGACAATATAATTTCATGTTGACAAAGGACAATTTGCAGAAATGAAAAATATATTCCCAATTATTTGGTTTCCCTGGCATACCTATACAGTACTGCTATGTAACAAAATCCTCTTTATCCAGGGGTGATTAGGACCAAAGCTACTCTGATTTAAAAAAAGAAAAGAAAAAAAAAAGTGTTTGACTCTTGATTTTGGCTCAGGTCATGATCTCATTTTTTGAGTCTGAGCCCCAGCACTGGGCTCTGCGCTGAAGGTGTGGAGCTGGCTTGAGAGTCTTTCTCTCCCCCTCCCCTGCTCTCTCTCAAAATAAATAAACTTAAAAAAAAAAAAAAAAAAAAGAGGGGTGCCTGGGTGGCTCAGTGGGTTGTTTTCAGCTCTTGGTTTAGGCTCAGGTTGTGATATCACTGTTTATAAGTTCAAGCCCCGCATTGGGCTCTGTGCTGATAGCGCAGTCTGCTTTGGATTCTCTTCTCCTGGGCTCACTGCCCCTCTCTCTCCCTCTCTCTCCCTCCCTCTCCTTCTCTCTCTTTCGCGCGTGCACACGCACTATCTCTCAAAACTAAGTTAGCATTAAAAAAACTAAAAAAAAGAGAAAAGATTCTACACAAAGGATGTCTAAATGTAAGTGGAAATCAAAAGAACAAAAATAAAAACAAAAAACCTCGAAGGTTATCCAATTTCTACATGGCACATATTTTGACTGTCAATTAGAAAACACAAATCACCTGCCTCAGAGGTGTAACAGCAAATGGAAATAAGATTAAAAAAACCTTAAGCCCCAGGGCACCTGGGTGGCTCAGTTGGTTAAGCATCTGACTTTGGCTCAGGTCATGATCTTGAGACTTGTGGGTTCAAGCCCTGCATTGGGCTCTGTTCTGACAGCTTGGAGCCTGCTTAGGAGTCTGTGTCTCCCTCTCTCCTCTCTCTGCCCTTCCCCTGCTTGCACTCTCTCTCTCTCAAAAATAAACATGAAAAAAAAGGTTTTTTTTTTAAATACCTTAAGCCCCATATGAAGTAGACAGTAGAAGAAAAAGAAAATCTGCCTTCCCATGACCCTCATCACTTCAAGAAATCTGACCAGGTTTTTTATTTTATTCTTTTTTTAAGTTTATTTATTTATTTTGAGAGAGAGAGAGAGCACAAGCAGGGAAGGGGCAGAGAGGGAGAGAGAATCCCAAGCAGGTTCCACGCTGTCAGCATAGAGCCTGATGTAGGGCTTGAACTCACGAACCATGAGATCATGACTTGAGCAGAAATCAAGAGTCAGACGCTTG